TTTGACTATGTATAGTCTTAATTTTGACACACTCACTTACACTTTTTTCATTCTGATGATGACAGTGGATTCTGTCGAAATATCAATGAAATAAATAAATTATGATTAGTTAATCATGTTTATAGCAGTTTTGTACTTCATTACTCACTATAAAATAGTATTGTTGTTGTTTTTCATGGACTTCAACAAATATATATTATTCTCATTATTTTTAGGAAACACTATACTTTCATATATGAACCCAAAAGAAAGGACTTTCTGATGTTATTAGACGTTTATTTTCGTTTCAAAAGAGTTATACAATACATAGATATATGATTAGAGTCTATTTGACGTAAGTGGTCAATTATAAAAAAAATTATTGATGAACAGAGCTGTTGTACGATAAAAACGGAAAGAAATAATAATTTAGACGCTGATTGTAGACTGAAAAATGCGTAAATTGACTTTTTTTTTATTATAATTTAATCAAAATTCAATTATTGATAACTATCCATTGCAATATATTTTTCTATTTGCCGATAGTTCAAGTAGTCACGATTAATAACAGGCATGCTTTATTGAACGTGATGTTCCAAAAAAATTTAGACTCTAAATGAATTTATCTAAAGTAACTTAAAATGTATTATGAATAAAATACTTCAAGCCAACGATTTATTGTATTATTATCTTTTTACTTTCGTAAATAAGTTTTTTTTTCTTTTTTTTTTTAAAAAGAGGGTAGAAATGTTTTTTTTCTTTTTAAACTTGTGATATCCATTTTTCTACGTATAAAACCGAAAAAAAGTTTTTTAATTGTAGAAACATATGAGAATTTGTCTAGTCTGTTTAGTTGAGAAAAATGTCAGAGACACAGTGCCCATCCAGGCGGACATTTAGCAAAATTTCTGGATTCAAAGTCAGTAAAATACACAACGCTAGATGCTCAGTTTAACAGCATAAAAATTTGTTTCAATAGTCAAGAATCGATCTTTCACCGATAGATTAGTAAAGAAATTTTTTGTGAGAAATTACAGTGTTTTCCGAACAGACAAAGTTTCCCAAGAGATGAGTCGGTTTCCACCATTTTTCACACGTTCAAAAAAGCTTAAACTGTTGACACTACTCTGTAGTAAACACAGTTTCTATGATGCATGCGGTTTTTTTCCTGGTCGAGATGTTTTAGTTAAAGCGTATTAACTCAGCCTACGAATACTTTTAGGAAAAAATAAGGTCATATTTAGAATCAGCGCATCGAGTTGCACCGAATCATGTATAAAACAATAAGTTTTGGTTAGAAAACTATTCAAAGACATTTTTTTCCGTGAATCAACAATTGCTCGTGATCGGTCTTAAGATCAATTTTTCGAAAAAAATGATTTTTTCTGAAAATGTTTGTTTCTTCTTAAAAAACATCAGATTTGACTAAGTAATGATAATTATTTGTGAAAAAAGGGATTACGAGCAAAAAGTTCTAGTATCCGCCTGCTATGAAGGGAGAAAGTGTGTTGAACAAGATCGAAACGAACATAATTTTTAGTCTGAAATGGAAACAGTCATACATAGACTGGTAAAATCTTACACAAAAATAATATAGTCAAAGACATTATAGTAGACTCTTACGATAGCCATATTGCGTAGAACAGAACCTTGAGCATCATAAAATCAGACGATGTGTGTTCTAAGAACATTATTTATTACGTTAGTTTTTGTCATTCAAAAAATTCTTCGTTTTTATTATTCTCTTTCTGTTATTCTGAGAAAAACAAGGACAAAACATGTGAATGCAACATGTGATTATGTACAACAATATGAAGAGAAAAAAAATAGAACAATAATAACACCGATGAAAAACAAAATTAGAAAAAAGAAAGAAAAGAAAAACATAAAACATTGCTCTAACATTGTGAGTATTCCTATATAATTTTATTAGAAAAAAAAACTCCATGACTTTACACACAAGAGACTAGAAAACTTTCGATTTTATCGCTATTATAAAGGCAAGATAATTGAGACATAAAACAGATTTACATGATTTAAAAGAGAAAACTATCCTAAATAGAATGAGTATCAGGATTGATTTGTGGCACTGGATATCACTTCCCGCCACCTGTAAAAAAAAACACACAAAAAATGTAATCTCGATATAAAATATCTTTATTTCAAGTAAATACAATAGATAAACGTACCTGTCAAATGCATATTGACTTTCAGCACGAAAGAAATAAACATGATTTTTAAATTGTAACTTGAAAACATATTCTTTATTTATGCCATCATTTTCTGACGGTAATGATACACTATAGCCAAGCAATGGTAAACTAGCTAACGGAAAATCATCCTAGAAAAAAAAAGCAATTAAATACACTTTTTTCTCCCTAGACTATATTTCTATGTGAAAACATACTTGATAGGTTTTGTAAAAGAATAGACAAAAATTCGTAAAAATAACCCATAATTTTTGCCATCCATTTGAATTTTTAAATTTTCGTAATAAATATCCACTTAGTTGATTTTTAATTGAATATTTATGATCATTCATACATACAGATAAATTTCTATGCCAACAAACATGCATTGTTGTATTAGCACGATGTTGAATACATGATCGTTCGATTATATTATTTTCATCAACTACGATATGATCAAGATTTTCTGATGAAGCTATAATATGAAGAAAAGTGAAAAATATATAGTGATACGAAGATAAAAATATCTTACTATTTGACTTTAATGTCGATGAATTTTGTTGTTTTTCATCATCTAATGCTTTTACTTTTTCAATGGCAAATTTTAAATCATTAAACCATTTGTCTTTTTCAATTTCCGAACTAAAATATAGACACAACTCATTAAACATTAATTTAAATTTTATTTATTTTTTGTTTCTTGATTACCTTGCAGCTAGAAGTAACGATCGATTTGTTGTATAAATTGTGATAGAATTTGGTATTTTAATACGTTCGTCACTATCTTCAATCTTTAACAAGAAAATTAAGAAATAAAATGATGTTTTAATTATTTTTAACGACTAAACCATGTATAATTACCATCATCGATTTTAAAGGTAATTCACCGTGTAATTTAAATTGTAAAACAGGACTAGAACTTCTTGCACAATAAAGTAAAACATCGGAAAACTATATAGAAGAAAAAAATATTTAGACTATTTTCACAAGAAAAACTAACATAATTTGATATTTTACCAGAAAAAACATTCGTTGTTGATAACCTTTTCGTGATAATTTTTGTAAACATCCTTCTCGTATAAATTCCTACAAAAAAACAAAAACAAATTGAAAATAAATATTTAAAAGACAGAAATATCTAAACTCAAAACATACTCGCTCTTGAGACGATACCAAATTATCGATACCAATTAGATCTCGTTGTAATTCTATGAGTTTTTGTTTATTTTGCTAATAGCGAAGAAATTTTTTTTATTTATTTTTAATTTTATTATATCATAGATAAGAATACTTACAAATATACTTAATAATTCGGTAAAATTTTCAATATGATCTCGAATTTTAATAAAAACTTCGTAACATCGTTGATAATCATCTACATAATTATTTTGTTCATAGTATTTAAGTAATTCTAAAATAAAACAAAAATATTAAATTTTCTTCAAAAGAAAAACGAAAGTAAAAAAAGAACAAAATAAAATCATACTTCCTAGTAATTGTCGATAATGTAATAGTCGTTGTAATGGTTTTAATAAAAATGATATAAAAGATAAATAGCAAAATTTTTGTGATGCAAATTCTTTATAAAATAAATCAAAACGTTTATTTCGTTTTAAGACAATTTCTAATTCATCTAACAATTTTTCATAATTTTCAACATATTTTTCATAATTCTAAAAATTTTTTAACAAAAAAAAAAAATGATAGAAATTGAAATGAAATCATATACATACATTTACTTACCGGTAAAATATCGATTAAATGAAGTACAAGATCGTCAATATGTTGAAAACGATTATTAGTATCATTATTATTTCCTGACCATCGACTTTCCCAGAAAGCAATACGTTGTTCAAATTTTTTTAAAAATATAATATGAAAATCATATATTGGAACGATATTTGAAAATAATAAATCCATAAAATTTGCTAATGTTTCATCTTGTTCATGTTCTATTAGTATCGTTAATTCACGACGAAATGCATCAGCAATAACTTCAAGATCTTTTTTATATGTACGTTCAGTCATTAACATTTCTTTACAGATATAAAATGCTCTATCATGAATTGTAGATGTAATCAACGTTGATGATAATGACGTGGGAATTGTTGTAATATTAGTAGATTCCTAAATATTTGATTAAGATGAAATTTGATGTAGGAGAAAATGAGTCCACTTACAGTCATAGTAGGTTGCTGTAAAATATTTGGTGTCAATTTTTTTGTGGCTACAAAAAACATATCTAGACATGTAGTATTATTAAAATTAATGATAAAATGATGATAGTTTTTGAATAGCAAATGTCTATTATCAAAATGTCTGATTTTCCATTGTTTTCTCTTTACAAAAGATTATTTCATGCTGCTTTTTCTTTTCTCATTCATAAAACGTTCTTGAGCATTTTTTTTCTTTTACTTACGTGATTGTGTAGAATAACTCATATTTGACTTTGATTCAGCAACAGGCAGCGTTGACGATGTTTGTTGTTCATGTAGAACCGGTATTATGCGTGTCTATAGAAAAATTTCAAACAAATATCGTACATACTTTATTATAGATAATTTCAGTCTTAATTGACTACGCTTCACCTAACTGGAGTATTCATTCGTCTTTCTCATTTAATAAATTCAAATTGTTGACTTTTTTTCAATTCTAATTCTAAGAAATTCGGTTAGAAATGTATAGCCGACTCCAATGTTAATGGAAAATAATCAGAGTTTCACTGTTCGACTAATCCAAAACAGTCTTTTCCCTGTTCAAAACAAATAATATACCTTATCGTCATTGATAGTTTCACTGGTTCCCATTAGTGTAGGTGACATTGTTGATGGAGGAGGAGGAGAAGGAGAAAGGAGATTATCACCACTAGTTATAATTGTCGAACTAAACAAAAATAGTTCTATAAATTATTATTGTAAACTTTGACTAGATGAGCTGAGCACACACATTTTTACTGGCGTTGAATCTATTCGTTTATGGTCAGATGATGTAGTTGTTGACATTATTAAGATCGGTTTTTGAACTAATTCTGATATAACTTTAGTGGACGGTAAGGATGGTCGCTGTTGATAATTCGTTCGAATGGAAGATGAAGTATTATCTAACGATAGCCTGGATGAGTTAGATGTTCGATGACGATGTTCAGATGAATCACCTGGAAAAAGACAAACAATTTTCTAACAATTCAAATGTCATAAATGAAACAGTATTCTCGATAATAAACTACGATTCATCTCATTTTGATTAAATGTCAAGTCTGATTACGATCAAATTTATTCTTCATAGACTTGCAATTTACCATTATAAAATAACTATGTATACAATTATCATCTCTTTTTACTATATTTTTGTTGAACAACAATGTTGACTGTTTTGCTTTATAAATTTTCGATAAAATATTCGAATAACAAAACTTGTTGATCATATCTCCCTATTTTATTTTTACCAAATTTCATTCAATATTTTTATTATTATTATTCTTTTTTATAAAATTAGATAGAAAAACAAGTATAGCTGTTACTAAACATATATAATATACACGCACACACACACACACACACATAATCATACAATGACATAAAAGCTAAACAACCATCCAGTGAAGGAGCACACCATATATTATCTAAATAATTTCTCTATCAATTTATCATTTGAAATAAAGCAATGATGTGTACTGTAAACAAAATTTTTAGAAAAAAATATATTTGTGATAAGTCGCCGGGCTCAAGCAATTCTCTCAACATGGCAAACCGAATCATATTTATAAATAGGGAGTTTTCTCAACAAGTTAAAACTTTACATAGTGAAAGAAATTTAAAAAAAATAGTTTAATAATTATTTACACAAGTCTAATAATATTGCATCTTTAATATGAGTCGATAAGTAAAAAAGATCATTATATTTCACACAAATTATATTAATAAAAATCAATTTTATTTCAAATAAGAAATAATGATATTTAGTACTCTATATTTAGGTAAGTACTATACTTTTAAGACTATTTTAACCGTATCAAGATTCAAATTTTTAACGACAGAATAAGAAGTTTACAATTACACTACAGTAGATAGTCTTGTCCTTCTCTGTCAACTTGGAAGTAAAAGAAATTTTGTTTGATTTTCGTCATCGGTCATGGTAAAACTCTTTTTAGATAAAGCAAATAGATGTAAAACCAAATTACCTGAATAATGACTATTTAATGACTGACTAGGACTACAAAGTGCGTCAGTTTAGGAACGACGTTCTATTTGAAGGAAAAAGAAGTTCTCTGATAAGCATAAAAGAGAGAAAGAGAAAGAGGGAGAGAGAGAGAGAGCAATGACAAACATTTATCCACTTCTTTAAATTGAAAGTAATTTTCTCTACAACAAAAACAAAGCTCTAGTCTGTCAACTCGTTTTTTTCTAGTGATAAAAAAAAAACAACAGAAAAGAGAAAAAAGGCTAAGTTTTTGACATCATTTTCTTTTCTCTCGTTCGTTCGATCGTTCGTTGATTTGTCTATAAATCTGACACATCCATGATAAAAATTATATTTAGATGAACTTGATTAATTTTTTTGTTTAAACACACCAGATTTATTGTCAATGAACGAAAATAATGCTGCATGACATTAGCCTAGAGTGATAATCCACAAAATAGAAAGAAGAAGAGTGCAATGCAGATATATATATATCTATCTATCTCTATATATGAGAAATTATGTGACCAGAAAAAAAAAGAAGAGAGAGGAAAAAAAAAAGGACGAAACATAGTTGCATTGTGTCGTTTGTTTTTGATAACTCGATTGCAAAAAATAATGATAAAAAAAATACTCTTTAATATAACTCGAACAATAACTCTACACATATATTGAAATAACAAACTCTAAAAATGTTGTTTTTCAATTGAACAAGCTTTTAGAAACTAAAAGAGAAAAAAAATCCTTTCAAAGAAAATGGAAAATGCTACTACAAAAGTGTAAAATTAACAACTTATTTGCAGTTGAAAAAAAGAAGAAGAAGAAAACAGTATCATCGTGTATGCAATTCTACTTATCTTTCATTCTATAGAGAAATCAAATTGTATTAAATGAACGAACACATTTACACAGTAAATTACCAAATACCCGAGAGTGGATACGAACGGCTTTACTTCTTTCACTGAACTAATATAACTAACTAACATTTCTTTAGTTGAAAAAAACAACAAATCCCATACGATAAACAAGGTAAACAATGATATTCATTAGAATATAAACAAAAAAACTTGTGTTTTTGATTAAGTCGTTTTTTTTAAATGAGCAAAACATAGCGAAATTAAAAATGCAAAAGATTTTTTTTTGAGCATATTAAATAATGAACCCTGACTAGAATAATTTCTAATTTTAAAATCTAAAATTGAATGAAATAAAAATAAAAATAAACAAATTGATCAAAATAACAAATAAAGATAATATTTTAAAATTTTATCTGGCAAATGGATTTTTTAACACTGAACGATAACCTGCTTTATTTAAATGATTGGATAATGAATCATCACTCGAATTTGAACTTGATCGTTTTCGATTTTTTGATGTTCGTAAATAGACTCGTCGACGTTGTTGATTTAAAGATGAACATTTTTGTTGTTGTTGTTGTAAATAGTCGTGCTGTTCATTATCATTGTTGTTAATAATTATGGTTGATGCACTTGTACATCCAAATGGAATATGTGATGTGGCCATTTTACTCTGTTCATTTTCACTAACCGGTTTTTTTTGTTTCTTTTTTTTATGATTTTTCTTTGTTATTGTTACTAATTGTTGTTGTTGTTGCTGTTGTGGTGATTGTTCAATGTCTGAATCGCTTAAATCAAGCAATCGAGCTGTAAATGATCGTGTATTATCAGGTGATTTTCTTTGTATTAGAGGATAATTGAGTAATTTTCTATTATCCATTGAAGATGCATAAGAGGATGTCGAAGAAGAACAACTAGATGAAGAGAACATTTTTGTTTGATGAGTGGATGGTACTGACATTTTGTTTGTATCACGAATAATATTAAAAAAATTTAATTTAGCTTCAGAAAATGTTGTAAAATCGGATTCATGTAAACAATGTTTTTCTGATGTTGGATATGATGGAAAACATTTTTCATATGCTAATTTTCTACTTATATCCGACCAATCTGTTGTTGTCGCTATAACTGGAGTCGATTTTGTACGTATACGTGATGAATCTGATTTATCATCAGCCGAATTCTTATCCACAATTAAAAAACATGATTTATGATGTTGTAACGTTGTATTTATTATAGATGAAAATAATTGTTGTCGTTTTTCTAATTTGTATAATTGTATGGCTTTTGAACAAGCTTGATCGACAAGTCTATTAACGATTGCATACATATCTAATTCATCTTTAACAATACGATCACATAATTGATTTAAAATACTTGTGACTATTGATTCAACTGATTGTCGTGATGATAGTGATGATGGTTGTGGTAATGGTACAATTTTTGATGTTATCTGACGTTTTATTCGTTCATAAATATTCTCATTTTCATTTGTTTGTGCTGTATCATCTTGCCATGATAAACTACATTTTGATGGTAATACTTTTTTATTAATATATTCAATATAACTTGTCATTCGAGGTAATGAATGAGCTTTTAGTGTTGATTTTGTGATAGGTACTGACTTTTTTATTGGTAAAAATTTAACAAGACCAATTTCACGCACTATATTTTTTGGTTTTTGTTTCTTTGTTACATGAGTAACAGAATAATGTTTACTATTTGTAGTAGATATTTGTCCATGTTTTGGTCCGATTAGTCGTTCAACTGATGGTGGTACTAATTGTTCATGATGTAGAGCTTCAATTGATGAACTACTACCGGATGTTGATGGTGAATGTGTAAAATCGGATGATAGTGAATGTTCTAATTGTAATGAATAGGATCGTTGTTGTTGTTGTGCTTTTAACATTAGATTTTTTTCTTCTTTCTCATCAGTTACATTTTCATTCTCATCACACTCATTCTCAATAGTCTTATGTCTCTCACACAATGAACGTGAACGTTGCTGCTGTATTTGTTTAGAGTGATTATATATATTTAAAGCAGTAGAATAACGTTTATTAGTTGAACTCTCATCCTTCTTATTATTATCATTATGATACAGTTCAAACCCAATCATATTATTATGATTCGATTCACTATTATTAGCGTTCGTATTGGCGACTAAAATTGAGCCCGACGACTTACCTCCTTCAATTGCTGTTTGTGGTTGTTTTGTTATGGTTTCTCTATTCTCAACGGTCTTTTTTTCAATATTATAATTAGATGTTTCACGTTTAGAAAGAGATGATGAAATTTCATCACCATTAATTCTATTTAATGTGTCTTGATGTTGTCGTTCAGGATCATTTAAATCAATTTTATAAGTTTCACGATAGATTAAATTATCTTGAGATGGTTGTTTTTCAACGATATCAACCGATGGATCACGAGATAAACGATTACTATTAGTATTCGAATTACGTTTTCGAGACGATATGAGAGGAAGAGCAGTATTATTCAACGTTTCTTCAACGTATTCGTTATTGTTCACTGTCTGCGATGGTAACGGTTCATTTGTGGTTGCCGTTCGAGCTGATACTTCAACATTATCCTCGTCTTCATTTGTACTCTCACCAGATAAATCATATTTTTCACGACTAAAACGTGAGTCGAGTGTACGACTACCATGAGTCGATGAATCATCGTGATAATATTGATAGTTATCGTTAACGTTATTTGTATTCGAATTTAAATGTTGTTGGTGTTTATCTGGCTGGTGATGATGATGCTGTTGTTGTTGTTGACGTAATAAACGTGAATCAGCCGATGACACAGTTGTATCTTGACTACGCATCGTATCTGATGTTTTTAATTGTGGTGAACGTAATGAACGTGTCGATAATGGAGCAACATTTCGTGTACTAGAGTAAGATCTAAGATAAAAAAAATTTAGTTTGATAAAAGGAAAAAAATAAGAAAATTCTTACCTTAAAAATGTACGATTTTTCACGTAATGTTCACGTGCATATTCAACGATTTCTTTTTGTGTACGACCAGCATATCTACCAAAAACAATGATAAGTGATATTATAAATGATAGTCATTATCGTCTCGAAAAATTTTGGTTTTAAGTTAATAAGTAGCAATCTTTATCATCCTATCAATCCTCTCCTCAATTATTCTAAAGATTCATTATATCATTTTTCTCTCTATATTAATTAAATTTACCTGAAAGATGAGCCACGTGTTAATAGTTTACTTTTATTTCGGTGTGGACGTTTAATACTAACACATCGAAAGAATGCATGATATTCAATACATTTTTTCCAAAATATTTTACATTGATCACGTGTATCAAAATAAAATTCAACAGTGTCTTTATAATAACCATAACCTTCTGGTTGAAGTTTAATTAAAAATTTTTTACGTTTAAAACTTAATTTTCTTATTTTAGCCCATGAAAATGTATTAATTTTTGTATAATTTTGAAATACAAGTATTCCCATATGAGCAACAGATAAATTGAGATTAACACTTTCATGATCTTTTGCTGTATGCATTTTAATTCCATATAATTCGACTTTTCGTGCAATATCTAATAAATTTAAATCAGCATCAGCAGGTGTTTGTCCACTAAAAAAAGAAAAAAATATTAATAAATTATATAAGAATTTTTATTCATTCTACATACACATGGTTTTTATGATAATTCATTATTCTAATTTCATGTTCATATACTTGAGGTGGAAAAAAACATCTTCCACCCATATATCGTGGATCATTGTTATAAGATTCTAAATAATCACCGATTTCCGCTAGAAGAGACATAATTATTTAATAGATTATAGATAACATTAACATAGATATACTCCTAACCTTGTACGATATAAGAGGCTAATAATGCTGCTGTATTATCACTACATAATAATGTTCCCTGTTCAAGATCACGTTTAATTTGTAATGCAAATAAATATCTATTTAATATGAAAAATTTAATTTAATAGTAGTTCATTGACAAAAGATAAAATTTATACCTCGTAAATTCTTCTTCGAGTTGACCGGGATCCGGTGTATAGAATTTTACACACATATTAAATTTTGTTTCAGTGACTTGTTTTAAAACAGGTTTGTCCATTTCAAGCCAAATCTAAAAAAATTTGTAAAAAAAAAAGAAATAAAAATAAAAATATATCGACATCTATTCAAAAAATCTAAGACAGATTCAATGATCATACCGCATTTTTATGAGCATCATAAAATTCCAATGCAAAATAATCGGATTCAAGTAATTCCAAATAATTGCATACATTGTCATAAAGATCTTGACCAGTTGCTTTTGGCTAAAATATATAAAAATATTCCAATCACAACTCTATCTTAATAATAGAATAGGCTTGATTTAAACTGTTGATAAATATTTAATGTAACAATAGTGAGATAATCAAAAGTTAAATTCTATATTAATAATCATTTTATCCACTATAAATAGATAAAATTTCTCTTTAGTTTACGTGATATTCTTTGTTTTTTATCTGTCACTTTTTTTTTCACCTTCAATTTGTCAAAATAGTATTGTTCTAGTGAAGGAAAATATGATCCAATTATAAACTCATCATCATTATTTTCATTACAGATGACACCTGAAGATTATTTTTAATAGTTAACAGATGGACGATAGTTTTTCTAATATTAAATAGTTAGTAATATAATAACTTGTTATCTGTTTGTCTTCCTTGTGACGATGAGAAAAAAATATTCTTTTAGATCTAATAACAAGCATATTTTTCTTTTACTGTCTGTTGTAGATATAATATGTTTGTTGAATATTAGAATGGTCTATATTATACAGAAACGGATAATATGTCATTGTATGCAATTAAAGAACAATTCACAACTCTTGATGCGTACACAGACAACATCGTTTATAGAGAAAAATATGAACGTTGTTTTCTTTAATCCCTCCTCCATTCCTCGCCCCGCTCCAAAAAAACAAGATCACGAGGTCATAAATATATTTCTCAATATCATCCAGATGTTTTCTGTTTTCACACGTAAAGAATTTTCTACACAATAAAACAACAGTTTCTCTTTACTGAGTCTTAATCATTTAAAAAAAGAAATAATAACAAATTGAGACCATACAAATTTTTTTACTTACATCGATGTGAAATGGAATTTCTTGATCATCAAGCATTCGTACTTTACATAATATTTGTTTTCCCTTTGATTTAGATGGTAATTGTTGAGAATGAGTTGTTGATGTTGTCATATTAATCTTTTTTTAGTGATAAAATAATGAATGCCAATTTTGGCAACGAATTTTTTATTATTGTTGAGACAATTGTAATGAATATGTGACATGTTGTTGTTTTTATTATTTATTTTTATGACACTAGTCGTTTTCAAAAATGTTTACAATAATTTGTTGTTGTTGTTGTTGTTCTAATTTGTCGATAAACATTTTTTTTTTACATCTACAAGAAGAAAAATAATTGTTAAGTAGTACAAATAGAAACTAGTGAACAAAACTAACTATTGGAGAATTAACGTTATAAATAATCTCACATCATCCTTATTTGTTTGTCATTATAATCTTCTTTTTAACTTAAACGTGATTATTATGAAGAAATATATCCATTAGAGACTATACTGTGATAAACACGCGCAAGAAAAAGAAAAGAAAATGAGAGAATATGATGTTTTATATATTTCACTTCCATAATATATACACGTACAATAAAATAATTCCAAGCTGTTTTAGGTTATAATTAACGATACATACAGTTTGATCGAAGAATATATAGATGAATGCACACACGTACATACGGTATTGAATGAGAATTATATTCATGTTCTTACTTAAAACTAAATAAGTAATATTGTTAATTTTAGTCATTCTATAAATAGAAATATTTTTACATTTGGAGAAAATCAAGTTAATTAAAATGAAAAATAGTAAAGAAATCTCTAATAAAATAATTGAATACTCTTGAAAAAAAGCAACAACGTAATATAACAGTGTCTACTATAAGCACAACCTTATTCATTCTTGCACGTAGTGACTAGTATAAAATTGAAATGATCCGTAAGAGTGTGGTGTTGAAAGAAATCAAAAATAGTCTCAGTTGAAAATTGTACGTTCTGTAAAAGAAAAACTTAACAATATAGCTAGACAACGATGTATATACTCATCAATTATTAAAATTACTTCAAAAAGTTTTAATTTTTGTTATTCTTATAAACCGCACAATATCGTTCAAAGAATATTTATTTCGAAAAAGAACTTTTTTTGTTTAATGTACATGTTACACGCTTTATTATACTGACCGGTTTCTTTTCTTTCTTTTCCATTAAATTGTCTACAATAGGATTTACTCCTGACAATTCATCTTTCTCTTTTTCTCTATCTGTTTTCTTCTTCTTCTTCTACTGTAGAGTAATAATATAACCCTGAAAAAAATACAATTGCTCAACAAAACGAACACATACATATAGTAAAATGCAACAGATAGAAGAAGAACAAGAAGAAGAAGAGAAAAAGAGCGAATTGCTCCACAATATATCCTCAATGGATAAAAATAATAATAATGATCATCATCATCCTCATCTCATCATCATCATCATCACTAAGTTTTTTAGCTATTTCTACTCTAGTCTACTCCTGGGTACATAACATCGAACTAATCGTTTTCTTTCTTTTTCTCTTTTTTTACTACTACGTCCGCAGTTCGAGTATTCGTTAATTCTGTTCTCTTTTTTTGTCTTGTTGTTAGAGAACTGACACATATAAATATATTATATACACGAAGGCAAAAAGAAAAAAGTGGGAAAAGTTCTTTCGGCTAGACGAAACATACACTAAAAAATATGTATAAGCCTGAAATTTTTATATATCTCAGAAAAAAACTTATGATAAAACGGAAAAGAAACAAAAAAAAAAAAAAAAAAAAACCTTAACAAAACGAAATTGTCAGTTCATCATTAGCTAAAACACGCACATTTTTAGGTTTTTTCTTACAATTTTTTGACATTTAATAATTGTATATCTATATATATCTCTATATATCGATGTTTCTGTAAGTTGCAGACTTTCAGTTTCTAATGCGTCTTTAAAAACAGACATAGAACATGCCCCTTATTCGAAAAAAAAAATAGATAAAGAAAAGAAAATCGTACCGTCAAGTTAAATTTTTTTCAACTTATATATATTTATGCAATTTATCTGCAATCTCAAATGCATTCTTTCTCCAAAATCAAAATGTAAAATAGAGTACTATTTACAAAAAATCTTTTCATACAAGTACTCTAAGTTCAAGTCACTTTCAATTTAAGTCAATTATTAAAGAAAAAATTTCCTAAAAGAAATTAATCAGATAAAAATACATCCTCTGGATCCTTTTAAAAAAAAAAGGTTTTTATAAAATACCGACGAGAAGGAGACAAAAACAAATTTTCTAACGCAAAAAAAAATACATTCACTTTCTTTTTACAATTGATGGTACTGAAAATAACTTTAGCATACATATATCATCATTATTATTATCATCTCTTTCATTTTGATCTTACAAGTGTTATATTCAATTTATACAATAAATGAGACAAATTTATTGTGATATTAAAAATAGGATCCATTATCTTTCATGACAAAGCAATCTACTCGTCTATATATCAACAAGACAAAAGACAAGAAAACTGAAACTAATCAGACAAGAATAATTATCATCATTTACAATCGATTTTTACAAAAGCAGGTTTATATCAACATATTTTTGTTCTTTTAATTGACTATACAGATGTCATCAGAATTTAGTGTACATATCGTATGTTAGGAAGGAAATGAGGTGAATCCACGCGTTATTAATCTGTTTACAAAAAACTTGAAACAAAAAAAAAAACAGAAAAAAAGTACACTCAAGAAATTACCCACTCGATCTATCTTAAAAGAAGAGCTTATAATGGAATTAATTGGAACAAAAAAATAAAAAGATATTTTATGGTTAACTGGGAAAAGGTGGTTGGTGTTTAAGTGTATCGTACCATGCGTGATTTATCTCAATTAAATATTCAATAGGGAATAGTCTCAAACACAGCGGCAATAAAAAATGATTGTCAAATAAATCGTTTTACAAGAAAAATAAAAAAAAAAATGTGACAAATAGTCAGCAGAAACCTACTAATAAAGATCACATACGGTTTTTTTTTTTTTTATCAACGGACGATTTTTAATTTATAATACAAAAAAAAAAAGAAAGAGAAAATAACAAATATTTTTACATCAAAGAGGAGTAAATAAGGGACTACTCTTTTTTAGAGGAGTCTATCAAAAAGAAAATGATGGTAAAAATATAACGTATAAAAAAGCGTACATGGGAATTATTGTAGAGAAAAAAAATAAGAATAGTCTATGTCTGATTGATCAGCACTTGAAAATGATTTTCAAAAAATTTATCTGTCAATAGGCAACGTTTTTTTTTTTTTTATTTCTATAGGATGTAATTTTGAAAATGTACGTTTTGATTGACAATGAGTTTCTCGGAAATCTGTTGTCAAACTTTAAGATTTTCTTCCTTTTTTTTCAACAACACTGTGTTTATTGATACACCTCTTAGAGGCGAACAAGTTGATGTTAGTCAAAAGAAAAAGAGTATAGAAGTGCCACTTCAAGTCTAGTATAGAAGAACGACCTAAGGCTTTTTCTTCATTAAATAAGGTAAGTGTCTGCTATCATAAATGACGTATTATAAAAACAATTATTTCTCTTCCTTTTATCATAGTAAATTTCTCCTCCCTCACAAATTCAAGTATCTTACACAGTACAAGAATATAAAAATAAAATATCTATGTTTTATTCTCAATTTATTTCCCAGATGAATTCAATCAAATCAAAAAACAATATATCTATCGTTCAAAGATGAAAGTATATAAATAAAACAGAACAAAAACAAAACAAAAAGATTCAATCATTAATATCTGTTAGATTATGATTAGAAATGAGTTCGTTCTATTGTAAAAAAACAACGATAACACCATTATTTTAACTTTCTATTGGAAAAACATATGTCAGACACTACAGTCATAGAATATAGTGATCAATATTACGTAAAGTCAAAAAAATTATTTCATAATTAAAAAACTAATATATACACATCTTCAGATATAGAATGGAAAGCAAATTTTCAACAAAAATAAACATGACCATGTGATTATCAATCATAACAAAGACTCTCTAACGTATATTAATTTATATACATTTAGAACAGACAATTTTCTATGTTTTCTCAAACATTTACCATCGAATATAGAAATTTATTAAAAACTAGATGCTAATCACGCTATACGTGAGACTTGCAAATGTGGTGCGAAGTAAGACATCAATAGTTAGATTTTGCAGTGAAGTAACACATTCAGTACATTATTAATGAATAATGATGAATTAGATTGCCTTGAATCAATTGTGAAAGCAGCTTTACACAACAATGTAGATAAATTCTTTAGATATAACAATGATATTCATTTATAATAGCAATCACATATATATAGATAATGAAGTGAATAACACTACATTTGAGATCAGCTATAAAAGTAACATTGCATTATAATGAACATCGCGTCTGTATACTCAGATCAATTAGTGTTTTGTTTAAAAATTTCTACGTCCCCGATTTTCAATCGACCTACTTTCGGATACTCTAGAAAAGGGACCTTCTAGAGTATCCGAAAAGTCTGAAAAAGGGATATTCCCACATTCAGCCACAAAACTCTGTACTCGCCTTCGAACTTTTGACATAGTTTCCAGTTCATAAGAAAATCGATCTAGAAAATGATACATGTTTTGATCTAGAAAAGATATGCATGATTGCTATAGGACGGTATGCTTCGCATCACATTAATAAACTGAAAAAAGCAGAACAAATACAAAAAAACCGTAAAATCTAGAAGTTGAATCACAACTACAATTACTCTTATTTTCAAAACGATATTAGTATGCCTTCTAAGATAAAAAGGATGTTCAATTGTATTATTCATATTGTAATACGATAGAGAACAAATAAAACTTTTAAACAGAAATATGAGCTTCCTTTCGAATGGTTAAACAATCAACATATTGCAAAAACCCTGATATTTATATAACAATTACCAATTAGATATACTGAAAATTGATTTCATGAAAATAGAAAAAAGAAACTATACGAACACGATCAGGAATGCTATCTCTATGAATTTAGAATTAGAAAGTCATTACTATTCATTGACATTCGCATAAAATAA